AACAGAGGAATCTTAACGAACAGGGGAACCACCTCATCACGTTACCGGGAGGACTTTGATGAAGAAGGCCGTCTAGGAAAAGGAGGCTTCGGAGAGGTTGTCAAGGCTCGGAAAAAGCTTGACGGACAGATCTACGCCATCAAAAAGGTTAGCCAGCGGTCGCAGGCCAGTCTCACAGAAATCCTGAAAGAGGTCCGACTTCTATCCCAGCTGAGTCACCCAGCCGTGGTTCGTTACTATAATACTTGGGTTGAGGAGATTGCGGACCAGTCGGATACCGAGGGTGACACCTCCACGGAGGACGCAACGGAGGACTCCAAAGACACCATTTCCCAGAGCCCAGCGATTCACTTCGCTACGAGTACTGGAGGACTGGACTTCATGTCGTCGAGCCACCCACAAATTGAGTTCGGCTACGACGATTCCGAAGAGGAAGAAGACGACGACGATGAGGAGGATGAAGACGACTCAGAGGAAGACAGTGAATCTGAGGAAGAGGACAGCAACCGGGCTGTCGGGCATGTTCGAGCGCATGCTAGAGCCAGATCTCAGCGGCCCTTCAGAACCATCCTCTACATTTCTATGGAGTACTGTGAGAAACGAGTGAGTTCTGTCTTCACATCTAACATGTTTTTCGCTGACCACGGGTAGACACTTCGCGATTTGATCACCCGAAAGCTGTATCAAAATACCCCTGAGATATGGCGCTTATTCCGACAAATACTCGAAGGCCTTGCTCATATTCATGGTCTTAGCATTGTTCATCGAGATCTTAAACCTGAAAATGTCTTCATCGCCCATAGCAGCGATGGGACGGATAATGTCAAGATTGGAGACTTTGGTCTGGCCACGAGCGGCCAATTCGCTGTTGACAGAAGCCTTCCAAATGCCATGGAATCGGACGACATCACCAGAAGCATCGGTACAACATCGTATGCGGCTCCGGAGGTGCGGTCTGGTTCACAAGGAATGTACAGTTCCAAGGTCGATGTAAGAGCTCTTGACCAGGTTTCAACTGAAGATGCTAACCAGTACGTAGATGTACTCGCTTGGAATTATCTTCTTCGAAATGTGCTACCAACCCATGCTAGGCATGCAGAGAGCCATGGTGATTGAGCAGCTTCGTCAATCACCCCCGGTGCTTCCATCAGACTTCAGGCCAGCCGACAAGATACAAACCGAGATCGTCACTTCTCTATTAACACACAACCCAAAGGAACGTCCTTCCAGCGCTGAGCTACTGCAGAGCGGAAAATTGCCTGTCCAGATGGAAAGCGAAACCATCAGGCGCACTCTCGCCGGTCTTGCGGATCCTAGCTCGCCGTACTACAAAAAGATGCTGTCGACCTTGTTTGCGCGACCAGTGGAGCAGGCGAAAGACTATGCGTGGGACATGAACGAGACGAGTCCCGGCGAGACGGACTTGGTGAACCTAAGTACCGTCAAGGCAACACTGATAGACATCTTTCGTCGGCACGGGGCACTCGAGTGCCAACGGAACTGCCTGTACCCTCGCTCCTCCCACTACAACGACTCAAACGCCGTGAAGCTGCTGGATGCGAACGGAATGGTGCTCCAGCTGCCATTTGATCTTACCATGGGTCATGCAAGAATGCTGGCAAAGGCCAGCGGAAGCGCGAGTGTGCAGAGAATATTCACCTTCGGCAACGTCTTCCGCGATAGAAACGACACGGGCCAGCCTCTGATGCTTGGCGAGGTCGACTTTGACATCGTCACAACTGATACCCTGGACCTGGCCCTCAAAGAAGCGGAGGTCATCAAGGTTCTTGACGAGATCATTGCCGTTTTTCCGTCCTTGTCGTCAAGCCAGATGTGCTTCCATCTGGGACACTCGGATCTGTTGCAGTTGATCTTTGACCACTGCCGTGTAGATCCCGTATCGCGGAGAGCTGCTGCTGACATTCTCAGTAACCTGAACATTCACAGCCAAACTTGGCAGAAGATCAGGGTGCAATTACGGTCTCCTATTGTTGGCTTGTCGGCTACGAGCGTCGATGAGTTGCAACGCTTCGACTTCAGAGGTATGTCAATCCTTACAGAACACGGATGAAGCTAATTCGGTTTAGACACCCCCTCCAAGGCGTTTTCCAAGTTGAAGTCAATCTTTGAGGGGACAGACATGTATCGAAGAGCGTCATCAACTCTGGCTCATCTGAAAGAAGTCTCGGAATATGCCAAGCGACTCGGAGTCGCAAGCAAGATTTATGTCACCCCTCTTAACAGTCTCAAGGAAAGCTTCTACACGGGAGGAATTATGTTTTCCTGCGTCTACGACAAGAAAGTCAAAGACGTATTTGCCGCCGGTGGCCGGTATGACAGTCTTATCAGAGAGAAACGGCCCAGAATCGGCAGCCATTACGAAGAACGGCACGCCGTGGGCTTCAACCTCAACTGGGAGAAGCTATCTAGGGTGCCCAAGACGAGCGGCAAAGCGTTTCTCAAGAAGACGGAGGAAGATACCAATAATATCTTCCACAACGCTCGAAGAGTAGGCCAAAGCAGCGAGCATTTTTCTTATCAGGTTGCTAACTTCTTCTCAGTGTGATGCGCTTGTCGCCAGTTTTGACGCTGCGATCCTGCGATCCATGGGAATAGAAATCCTGCAGACGCTCTGGGCGAACGGCATCAGCGCGGAGCTCGCCAAAGACGCGCGATCACCGGAAGACCTGCTGGCCCGCAACCGCGACGAGGGCTACTGCTGGATCGTCATCATCAAGCAGGACGCCATCGTCAAGGTCAAGACGATGGACAAGAAGGACACGCCGGACGTCGACCTGCCGATCGCGCAGCTGCTGTCGTGGCTGCGGGGCGAGATGCGCGAGCGCGACTCCAAAGCGGTAGTCAAGATGCGTGGCGTACAGCAGCAAGCCGAGTCGACGCCGGTCATCGAGCACGAGCAGGATGTGCGGGTGATGGTGGCGGGGACGCGGAGCAAGAAGTTCAACCGGCGGACGGTGGTGGAGCAGGCTCAGTTCAGCGCGGCGAGCCTGGTGCACTCGTTCCTTGACGGGCCCATCTTGGCCGTAGAGACGACGGATCAGGTCATGGACATGATTAGGGAGACGTGCCTGTCGGACGCGGAGAGCTGGAGGAAGCTGGAGCACAGCGTGACGACGGCGGAGAAGAAGTACGTGCGGGAGATCCACGCCGAGATGGTCAAGTCAAAGGCGGCGTGGGAGATGAGGAATGCCAGCCGGCATTCGTTCATCTACAACTTCAGGACGGGGAACTGCATCTACTATGACCTTGGGGCATAATCAAAGGTTTTAGGGCTATCGTCGATTTGGATGAGGAGGATAATTGTCGCAGTTGACACGAAATGAAAAACAATATTTGGCGTTGTCGCAGGATTATTGGCAAAGTGCATGCTTCAAATGCGTCATGTCATACAGCAGGGCAGCAGCATCGTGAGTTTGCGGCGACGCACCACACCTGCAGAACAAACGCAGGGGTGGTTTGAAGTCAGCCTCTGTGGGCTGCATGGGTGGGCGGCAGGCACTAGGACGGAAGCCTCTTTGGATCGAGTCTTTCGGCTCCTTCTGGCTCGAGGGCGCTGTTTGCTCAGGCGCTTTGTCGTTGGAGGCTGGCTTCATGCATTAAGCAAACTCCCAAGCGCAGGCACCGAAACCCCAGACTGGCAGCCGCAGTGTCAGATCTTAGTAGCGGCAGAGGCGGCAGCCATAAGAGTTGCGGGAGCTTGTTGCCTTTAGAGAAGGCAGTTGAGTTCCGGGCGAGTAGGGAAGATTCCAGTCGAAGGAAGCGCTGAGGAGAGGGTTTGCGATATGGGGCTTTGCGTGCCTTCGACGGGCTTGGGTATCCTTGCAGCTCGAGGGAGTGCAGTCAGCGACGTTGGTTTGGAGGCATCAAGGTGTCTGGCTAGCTGAGGACGTAGGTAAGCAAAAAACAAAAAACTGATTCATATGCAGTGGTACTTGTTGAAGAAAGAATTTTCCCAGCGGCCGGAAGGCGAGGACAAAGAGGTGCCTGACCAGTCCGCACTATTTGAAAGTCTAGGCCCCTTTCAGGATTCCATCATGTTCGAGTTGGACGGTCATGTAAGCAACCCCCGTGAGGACGGCATGATGGCAAACTTGAAAGTACTGGTGGCGGCGCCTGCAGACCAACAAGTGAGTGCTGCTTTCCGTATTAGCAAGCCTGGCCGAAGAAGATGTGCTGGACGGCTGACCCTGGCAGGCCATGTTGCAGTGTGGATTGGCGCGAGGGTGAGGTGACTGTGACTTCCAACCAACCCCGATCGGAGGCAGCGACAGCAAGGACAGGCGGCGCCCTGCGCTGGCCACGGATCCGAGACACTGCGTGACCACCCCCTTCACATCGTTGGCGGTTTGGCGGGCGGGTTGGGCCCTGCCATTGTGGAGGGACTTGGGCGGGAGACTGGTGCCCTGGCGTTTTGTCTCGTCCCCATTGTCCTCGTTCGCTTTCCGGTCGACGGCGCCCGTGGATCTTCGCTGCTGGATGCACCTGGAACCTTGATAAACCGCGACAATCTCCCGTCACCTCTTTTCTCTCTCGTTCCTACCCTGATCTTCCCCGTTCTTGCCCTTTCTGACTGCAACTCGGATTCTATTTCATCTACAAGCACGTTCCCCCCACCTCTCACCTTCTTCTCTTCCTCTCCCGACTTCAACCCTTCCATCTTCCACGGGGCTGCTCGCAACCGCCACTTACCGCCTCGCCGGTCCCTCGCCTTATCTTATCACCTTCGCGCCGAGTCAGTCCATACAAGACGAGTCATCCCTCCCTCCTCCGTCCCTCCTCGACGTTAGGGTCCCTGCGCTTCGATCACGCCTCTTGTGAGAATCAACGGCCGACTTGACCACCGTCATCTCCCCAAGAGTGCTTCAGTGCCACCGCGACGACTTCTGCCGCTTGTAGTCACCGCCGCTCACGACGAAACACTCCGCTGCTACCCATTCTTCTCCAACAGACCCCGCCTCGTCCACAACCAACAGCCCACCATGGCGCAGAAGCGACTGATGAGCGAGCTGCAAACACTGCAGAAGGAGAAATGGGTGCACATTGACGTCGACGACCGCAATGTCTTGATGTGGAAGATCGGCCTCATGGTCGTTAACCCCGACAGTGCCTTTAATGGGGCTTATCTCAGAGTGAGTCGACTTCTAACATGCCTGCCTACAAGGGCATATCGACTAAATGCTTGAGTCCAGGCGGAGATGACCTTCCCACGCGACTACCCGATCCAGCCGCCGACCTTCCGCTTCCTCACCCGCTGGATCTGCCATCCCAACATCTACCCCGACGGCAAGCTGTGCATCTCCATTCTGCATACTCCCGGCGAGGACGAACAGTCCGGCGAGCTCGCCTGCGAGAGGTGGACCCCTCTGCAAGGTGTTGAGTCTGTGCTGCGTTCAGTACTGCTACTGCTGGACGACCCCGAGATTAACTCGCCTGCCAACGTCGATGCTGGCGTCATGTACCGTGATAAGCGCGAGGAGTATCAGAAAAGGGCCCGCGAGACCGTCGAAAAGTCCAAGAAGGATATCCCGGCAGGCGTGAAGTTCCCTACCACAGCGGACTTGGAGCCTGTTCCTCAGAAGCCGTTGGACGATGACGCATTCTGGAACGAGACAGACGACGAGGGCGACTTTGACCTGGGAGGCAGCGACAGTGATATGGATATGGATGACTTCAACGACGATGACGAGGATGACGACGAAGACGAGAAGCCTCAAAAGCCTTGAGCCAAGCCCGGCCCACAGCTGAAAATCACTACTCATATGACTTCATCTCACCGACTCAACGTCCTATTTAAGCATAGCGGAGTTGTGCACTGGGCTGGCTCTCTCTACTTTACTCTTTTTTTCCCCTCTCACAACCTTATACGCATGATGGATGATGCATAGCGACGGCCCCAGGCGTTTTGCCGGCTGTCTTGCCCGGCCTGTTTAGGTGATCAGAACGGAGTCTCGTTTCCTGGGTTCTGGCATCATTGGATTTTACTGGGGAGGGTGTTTCGCAGCAGGGATGGAATTTCACATTTGGCTCTACGGCGAGGGAACAGCGACTAGATTTTGGCGGCGGTCGTCGAGGGAGGCACCACAAAAAAGGTATCATATAAGCCAACGAATCAAGCATTGTTTGCCGCACGCTCCGACAAAGCCTAGGGCTGAAAATATCTGATCATATTGAGTGCTGTTTGTAAGGCCTGAAGAGTTTGCCGGGCGTTTGGAGGGGCTTACGGATACCCTCACAAGCGTCTGGGTCGCGCGAGTGACGCAATGTCGGATTTACGCTTGTGACTGCCGGTGCCACCCTTCCGCTGCCAGTGCATCCCCGCAGGGTTGTGAGCGCCAGCAGCAATGGAGGGGGCCGACAGGGACGGAAAGCCGCGCTTGCCCTCCGACAGGGTGGACAATCAGAGCACCAGAAGGGCATGGTGGTACGGACGCCTGCCCCGCTAACACCGTTTACTCGTGGTCGTATGTCTTGCCAGATTCCAGACCAACTGAACATGTTCTTGAAATAGAAATAGAGGTAAGGTAAGCTATGCATCCCGGCCTGTAGCATGCTACTGTAGAATATCTCAACTTCAGCCCCGAACTGTCCTTGAATCGTAGATTTTTAGTGATCCGAGTCGTAGACAGCGTAATTAGTTGCCTCTTCACTGAAGACGGGACGTCACGTCGTCAAGTGGGGGGCTGATAGTGGATACGTCTCTGGAACCGCACTGTGAGCCGCCGCAATGAGTGGAAGCTCACCAAGCCTTCCCAGTCGAGTCTCGGTGCAGCTTCCACCAAACACAGCTCAGGCGTCCCGAAAAGACGATACGGGACGGGACGACTGAACCCTCCAGCTATCATAGCTGCCTTCCGTCTACTACTTGTTCTCTTCGTAGCCCCCGCACCTTTGTCAAACGGAGCCCAGACAGCTCGAACCCGCCTGTCGGTGCATCACTGTTGCAGGTGTTTCTTGCCCGTTTGACCTCACCTCAGTAGCCGCTCCAAACTCGTAGCTTCGCCCGCCAGGCTTCTCGTAGCCCCAGCTCTTCCACCTCCCGACGACATGCGCATGTCTCAAACATCCCTAGACCAACGACTCTAACCGACGAAGTCGCTCAATTCGATACGATAGCGATAATTTCCTGCGGGACGAGCCGACAAGATGGCGGGGCAGCCATCAGAGGCAGATATTGCTACATTCTGCGAATGGACAGCCTTAGTAGCTGAGGGAACGGGCATAATTCTTGATCATGATCGTGCTATGGCGACGGTGGCCTTGAAGGTGCGTTGCCGAGCCTGTTTATATGGCTTTGAGTCCACTGACGCATCGCATAGTCCGGCAGAAGCGTAGACCAACTCGTTGAGGAGTATTACAATGGCCCCGAAGCGGTATGTGCTTCTGAACAACGAGGGAACATTCGAGCTAACAAGGGCATAGTTTCGTAAGAAGTACACGTGGGATGACACTGCGTTCGGTGCCGACCGAGACGGGGCTGCCAATAACACTGGCATAGGCACGTTGAATGCTTCCCTCTCACATGGACATGGTGGCTGACTTTGTAGCGTAGCCTTCAACATCGAAGCGCCCGACAGTGCCGTTATACAAGGCGTTGCGCCAGCTCCCGACAACTTTTACGGCCAATCTGCCGGGGCCCCCTCACGACCGCCATCGAGAACAAACAATCGATCGCCGCTTGGTAGGATGATAGACTGGACGGCCGGGGATGCTTCCGGTACTTCCCTCCGTGCCGTGGGGAGCCAGAGCTGACGTGCGTACAGGCGCGCCGACGAGCGCGGCTCAAGAAGACGAAGACCTCCAGGCAGCTATTCGGAATTCTGCCATTGAGTCAGGTCTCACGCCGCAGGAAGCCGGCGTGACCAACACCGGCGCCAATGCAGCTTATTTCGGACCTGCTAACCGTGATGACTACGACTCCAACAGCTGGGCCATGGTTCCTACCGGAGTGGATTCGTCGGAATCTAAGAGTAACGACGATTCCGCGCCTTCACTAAGGAAGAGAGAGCAGGGTGCCCCCGCCTTTCTTGTTCAGCAGCCGCATTCGCGTACCGAACAACACCGGTTGGGCTCCATTCTGACGATTCTTCACGAGATCCCTCTAGTTCGAAATGCTCTTCTATCAGCTGGCGAGCAGGCGGCGTCATATGGCTACAATAGCGAGTGGTGGAAAGGTCAACCTATATACAAACCCCACGTACTGGCCGCCATGGAAAGGGACGAACTCCAGTGGGGTGATGACGCAAAACCGGACTTTCACGAGGAGATCCATCGCCTCATGGCCTTCTTGGATCAAACGGAGAGAAGTTACGGATCCGTCGAGGCGATGGCCTACCTCGTTCCCGCATCTTCCTATCCTCTTGAGAGGCAGTTTTTTGACAGCTTGCACGATCACACGGATCCTGAGGTCATAAAGCCACTAACCCATTCGGCCCACACAATCTACACGACGACGCTCGAGAACTACCAAGAGCCTTCAAGATTCTCCTACCTTAGCTTCGAGCTTCAGAAAGATCAATATGAGAAGACCAAGACGTTGTACGAAGCTTTGGATTGGGTGGTATGGAACGACGCCTGTACGTGGACCGAAATCACACCAGAGACCAAAATGGTCTATCTCGACGACATTGGTGAAGTTATGATCATGGCCATCGACGGGACTGAGCCTCCCGAGTCAATGGATATCCCCGAGGTCTGGTACCCCGAGCGCTACCTTGCTGGTCGGAAAGAGGAGGCGAGGGTGATCCAGGAGCACATCGCGTGGGTCTTTAACCGTCTCTACAAGGCAGGCTCGATGGAGTATGAGGCCACCAATTGGGTGGACAATGACACTTACAAGGTGTACGATGTCAAGGAGATGTTGGAGAAGACTATCAAGGAGTACGAGGGGCAGGTTCAATATCTCGACGGACTTGGACGGTTCCGAGAGCTGCAAAAGCTTGCCGATGACGAGAAGCAGTCTGTACGGCCGGAGGATGTGCCCTGCGTCAAGACGGCGGAAGAAGAGGAACTGTCGAAAACCGCAGAACAAATGGTCAAGAGGTGCCGTCAACTTCTGTCCGAACAAGAGGCGAAGCTCGCCAGTAAGTCAAGTTTCGCTGACCTAAATGAATAAATGCTAACCTCGCCCAAGAGCTCAAGTGGGAGCGAGAGCGGCTCACGGAGAGACAACGATCTCTGGGCAAGCTACTCACAGACCCTAATCACCCGGGGCTATCAAAGCCGTTCATTGGCAAGAAGTACCTCCTCAGAGGTGTGTCCACTGGCAAAGATGTGACATATGTTTGCAAGAGGGAGGAGCCAAGCCTCATTGAGCTTGATGAAAATTCTGGTCCAGTAGATCAGTGGTGGCGGCTGTCCTATACTACAGGCGACGCTCAGCCTGCAAAAGCAGAGGTGAGGCTCATGTCTTCAGGTATCGACACATTTTCTGACCTTTAACAGAGAGTGTCCTATGAGTTGGTGATGCGACAAATGTTCCAAGAAACACGCAGGCCAATGTTTGTGTACGCCACGGAAGACGCTATCAACCAAACTCCTGTGCCTCTCTCTGACGCCCTCCAGCGCTTCGTTCGTGCTGAGAACAAGAACTTCCGCCAAGAGCTGAGTCGGGAAACAACAGATGGAGCCGCAGAAGCGAGGGACGTAAACGCAAACACATCTCGGGTGTCGCCTGCGAAGAGACAGTATCGGTCTGGTAGCGTGGACTCGATGGACACCAACCGTGCTTCCTTGGGAGGCAGCGATACAAATTCCAGAGATGGAGACTTCGAGTTGGACCATGATGTTTTCGGTGCCGGGGATGGCGCAGGAGACATCGCCATGCCAGACCTTTCACACAGCCAGATTATCGACAACAGTAAGAGCCTTGCCGAGGTCATGTACTCAGGCGGAGCCCCGGCAGCAGGAACCTCCGACATACTATCGGTACCGCAGCTTACAGAAAGATCTAACGAAGCTTCAGCCAGCGGTGGCGTTGATGTTAGTCGCACAGTCACGCCGGATTTCGAGGATCAGCCCAAGGGACCTGAGATGCAGGAGCGAAGCAGCAATGGGGGCGGATCACCTTTTATGGCAAGACGTTCGATACACTTTGGGTCACCACCGCCCTACGACCCCAGAGACGAGCAAAAGACGATTAAGATTATGGATATGGAAATGCCTGATGAGCATCAGTAGCGAAAGACTAGAGCATCAGAGGAACACGACTATGGATAGGAACAGGATATAGCAGCATGGCATTCGCATCATGGCGGGTCGCCGAAAGGCACACAGCAGCATTGGCTATACGTTCTGCTGCGCAGCGCAATAACTTATTCCATTGTACATGATAATTGCGGCAGTGCAATACCAATTGTTTGATACCCCAATAAGTGCATGGCCCAGGGGCAGTGTTGGCGATGGTTGAACCTTACGCCTGGCCTTTGACGCATATCGTCGTAGAAGGTTCTCGAAGGTTCTATATGCAGCTATCAGGTATCCCTGTATCCGCCAGGACCGGGGCCTGTCTAGTGCGGCGCACGAGCCACGGCTTGAGCTTGACTCCGCTATTCCCGCCCGGCAAACACCCCGCCATTCGTCATTGTCTGTTGTTTGCCAACTTCTTCCCTGCCTGACAGTTGAATGCTCTTCAATGTCGGCAGCTTGACAGCTCTGCGAACGAGTCAAACCTGCGTGGGAACGGCGTAAAACGGGGTGATGTAGACTTGAAATCCCAGGCGTAAGT